CAGACGGAGACCTGCAGAGAAAACAGGTATTTTGACTACACAAAAACCACTGCCCTCTGAATTGTGCCAGAACAGGGGAATTGCCAGCTAGATGTTCACCTGGTTTCTTGTTTCAGTGCTAGCTTGCGAGACCTCCCTTGGTATATGTGTACTGGGGTTTTTGTGTCACACCACAGCCACAGCCACAGTGGGTCTCATCCAGATACCCCAGGTTTCTCCTCACACTCTCCCTGGTGTAGCTCTGCTTCCATCCCCCCCTGCATGTTGTCATGGACCATTCTTTTGAGTCAGACATTTCAGACATTTCAGGAACGGGTCCAGCTCTTACATTCTTTCAATACCAGGACTAGAAAACTACCCTGGATCATCTCCTGAATCAGACAGGAGCATCTTAATACAGCAGTTACCTCCGCCACTCTGCCTGCAGAAATATTCCATGCATCCAAAAGCCAGACTACACAGCAGTCAGGCTATACTTCAACAGGCCATTTTATTTATTCTTCCATTCTTCATGACACAATATTTCTCCCTGTTTTCCAGCTCAGCAAAGTCATAGGAAAACATACTATCATGAGACATAGGTGTGGGTAAGACTATCAAGGCATAACTGTTTATATTCAGTAAATTCACTTTAAAGTTAACCACTGTCCCCTTGCAAGTTGTATTTGATGCCTGGTTTCAGCCTCTTCCTTTTCCCATAGGTGGAAATTTTTCCAAAAAAATATCTCACTGGCCATGAGAAAGACCAAATATCTCCTATCACCCAATAGTAGATGTCCTGTCTGTCAAGGAACTTGGCACTGACCATTGCATTGTGGTATAGGGACAGGTTAACATGTGGGCTAGCAGAAAAACTTCAGGGCTCACAGGGAACTGCCACAGGGTTCAGATGAATCCTCTAGCTGAGGAATACAGGGATCAGACATCCAGAGCACTTGACAGCATGGACAATGTAGGATGTGTGTATGTGTGTGTGTTCAGACAAAGCTTAAGAGGTCCGTGATCATATCTTTAGGTAATTGTTTAGCTCTTGTTTTGACGACTCAGGTTGCCTTTTATAATGCAAAATTAATGCAAATGCTTCCCTTTCTACAGTGACCACTTTGCCCATGAAAAGAAATGCCATAAGGGGAGCAAAGCTCATTAGTTTAGTGCCATAAATGATTCTCCTAGGTCTCAAAACCCCTATGATTAACATAAACATAGATAGAGACAACTACAAATAAATACACATATAAAACCCAACTATCCATCTAAAAACATGGTCTGCAATGTCTTTGGCTGTTCACAGATGTGGTAACCTAGAGGTCAGGGACATTTAATACCAGTCATGACATATGCCTGATGAAGGAAAGCAGCCAGCCCAGAGTGAAAGTAAGGACAACAAAGCACATAATATACCTCTCAGGGTACCAACTAAGGGATTTTAAGATTCAGCCTCAAACTCTAAGGAAATGTCACCCCATCATGTTTTCTTCACACTGCAGTCTTCTCTCAGGCAGTTGTTGGGTGGACGTGTTGACATTCTTTTGGACAGGGCAAGGTAGTTCTAATCTTACAGGAGCTATCTCAAGTCTTCATTTTGCAATGATTGTAAAAGTGGAAGCCTTGTCAGGTTTTCCAGTGAGTTACTTAAAATTAACCAGAACATAATGTTCAAGAGGAGGATGAGAATGGGGGAAGATAGGAGGAGTGCGTCAGACCTGGGTAGACCCACTGTATTAACATTGTGGGCCCTTAAAGCTGCTTCTCAGCCAGTATGGAACAATGAAGTGCCCTAGGTATAGGCATACATAGGAGAGTGTCATCACTTTTTACTTAGCATTTCTCTCTTAAACATTGTGCATTTATTAGGGGTAGATGCAAATGCAAAGAATAAGGCATGTTTTGTAAAAACCAAAGGCAGGTCTCCTTGCCTGTCTCTGTGGAAATCACACCAAGAGACAATGGTGTTGATGCCACACTGGGTAAATAATGAAGGAGACAGGATTGTTCAGGCAAAGTCAAGCAGGAAGCCCGGAGTTCAACACAGCATGCTGACGTTAGCAAAAGTCACATCAAGTACAGCAGTTTCCTGGTAACCTGCCCTACGGGAATAACACCCACAGACTCCTGAGAGTCAAAAAGCAGCTTGAAGCACTTCTTCTAAACGGATTTAACAGGTATTGTCATGACTTTAGGTGCTCCAGCAGTGGCACAATCCACTTTCACTCTAAATGCTAGGCTGACATCCTGCATAAGTTTGTTTCATAGGCTGATTACTTGTTGGGTGATGAAAATTAGTTGCCAGCAGCTGACTCAGAGAGGCAACAGGCAAAACAAAGAAAAGTAGCTCTACTTGTTTTCTCAGAAATGAGAGAGGGGACAGGGAAGGAAAGGGCATCAAAGCCCTCCTTTGGGATTAAGCTGGGAGAGAAGAAAGGTATGGAAGTTTGCTAACTGACCTGGTGGGGCAAAACCCAGTCATGTAGGTTCCAACTGTTCTAGGTTACAAGTCCTCCAACGGCCTTCGAAGAAGGGTCTTGGGGAATTTGTATTGTTTCTGTTCCACAAAAGGCTCTTACCTCACAGTTAACCCCCACCTAAAGAAACAACTGATTTTAGTAATTTATATCTGACCTCGGGAGTGGCAGCGTTAATGTCATCAGTATTACCATTTTACACCGAATTGAATGTGAGATTATGTGTTAAATAGTGACAGCTTGGATTGCCCCACTAATAAAGCTGGCAGCATTAATGCTGTCACATATGGACTGCTTCAGGGCACTGGCACTGGTCTGAAATCACTCTAACTTTGGTGGGAAGAGAAATACCCCTTTTTTCTACTCTGGCATGCCCTCATGGGACAGACCCTTCTCACCCACCTACTGCCCCAGCAGTGCTCCTGCAATTTGCTCTGGAGCTTGCAAATCCACCTCCCTGCCCAGGCAGTCCTGTCCAGGTGCCCCTGTAGACTTAAACAGCAGCAGAAGCTTCTGATCACCTCTAATGTGTGCCCAAGTTTTGCTTAATTAAGAACAGACTCTCTGATAGCATTCATAACCCTCTCCTGATGGCTCTGGGACCACGCAGGCTGTGGCAGCACAGCCAGCCAGGCCTTCCTGTCATGCAGCTCATGTGTGAAGTCCTAAAGGGTGCAGTGGCAAATATGTAATATTATTTTCCAGCATTAAAGGACTCAGCCTGGAACAGGTCTCAGGCCAGTATCAGATGTGGCCTCTAGGCCCTCAGGCAGTTGTTCTGAGCCCTTCTGCATTGCTCGGTGCAGAAAAAACAGCTTGTTCAGTGAAGGCTTGTTGGTCCTGTTGTGCTGTCTGAGGTAGTGAGTGCAATCTCACATACCAGAGTAAGGATTAGACCCAAGATCCTGCAACACAAATTTCTGGCCATTATCACTATAAGACACTTCTCAGTGGCTATACTGATTAGACCCTGACAGATGCTATTTCACCTTCTAAACTATAGTTATTTCAGGAAGGAAGAGCTTCATCTTGTTTATTCCCCAATACTTAACTAGAGCAGTTGTAAGGAAAGAGTCTTTTTTGGCTCTCAGAGCTGCAGTGATGACTACAGAGTGAGGGAAAGGGCTGAGGGAGATTTCCCTGCTTCTTCGTCTCTTTTTTTTGGACGTCTTTCTTGTCCAGTTGGCTGTGCATGAAAGCACAAAAGTTTTGTGAAATATTACTTCAACAAGGTCCCAACCTGCAAGTCCCAGTCCTGGGCCAGCATCTCTGAGCATGGCAACAGGGTCCCAGCAAGGAGGAGGTGACAGGGTGACCAGCTTGGCCAGTTTGCCCAGCCAGATGCCCAGCTGGGGTGTTTTACCTGGGTCTGCTTGACGGTGGGGCTCTGGGCTGACTCTAGATGGGAAGCCCAGTCCCTTGGCACCCATCAGCCTGTCTGCGTACGGATGGATTTTAGCTCCCATCCACGTCAGTCTTCCCCCCCCCAGCCACCTCTACAGGATTTAAATATCCTCTCAGGATCACCACTATTCAAATATTTAAATTAGCCCTTTGCACGATTATGTAGATAGTGACATTACAGACTTTTTAGACAAGGAGCACTAGGAAATTGATATGCCTTCTCTGATGACAGCATCAACAGTCAAGTTTAATTTTCAGTGAGATGAAGAATGGCACCCAGTGTAGGAAAAACTTCAGCACTAAAGTATTTGGTATCTGGAATATATATATATATATTTTTTTTTTTTCTTATTATTTTCCCTGAATGCAGTAAAAGCACAAAGTGCTGTGCCATGAAGTAATACAAAATACAGCCCCCGCCAGGAAGGGTTCAGTTCTCAGAGACTGAGATTTTAGCAGAGCCTCACTAAACTCAGCAGCAGATTAGGAGGAGCTACAAGTGGAGCTGTAGCCTCACTAGAAGAGCCTGAGAGAAGGTAGCAGCCCTCATACACTGCTGTGAAACAAAGAAACCCCTGGGCAGGAATCTAACTGGTCTGGACAAATGGCCCAGAATAGCAATTTCTCTGTGGGAAAAGACATCTTTGTCACATCAGTTACATTTCCAAAGAATACTGCATTTACATCTCATACTTGTGCCTCATTCAGACACCTTCCTGGAGAACCTCACCTTATTGAGAACTGCAGTACAACCGATTAATTCCAATGAACATGTATGTGTTTAAACAATAGCCACATTGACCCCCAAAAATACTGCCATAAGAACACTGGATGCAGCTATTACTTTTTTTAAGCTACCAAATATTTCTGGTCCGTGGTGGAAATCCTTTGCAGTGTGGAGCATAGTTAAGCCTGATTAGCCAGCATTCCATTTTCCCAGTGGGGCTAATGAGATTTGTCCTTTGTTCACACACGCTGGTCTGTCATCCCCATTATTTTACATCTCACCTTGAGTTAAGAAAAGGTACATCTTCAGGGTTCACTGGGCACAGCCACAGTGGATTTGGCACACTGGATGTAATATGGTCTGCCACATTGGATGGGCAGTGACAAAAATTGTCCCTCTTCCCCCAGGTCCTTCCATCGTCCCACTGCAGCAAGCAAAGCCAACACTGGGCAATCCTCTAAAATGTTTATTTGGACCAGTGGCCGGAGCTCTACATCTTACAGACATGATGAGAAAAGGTAAACAGCATCTATGCTGATTGTCTCTTACGGGTTTCAATCTTTAGGAATGTGGCCTGTAGCTTCACTTCAGTGGTGCCTCTAGAGAAGGAGGAAGGATGCAAAGGGTGTCCTCTCTTTGTCTCTCACCCTCCCAGCTACTGCTCCACTGACAAGAGGATCAGCCAATGAGTACCAGGGTTAACATGCCAAGCCAAAACAGAGTGGAGGGACAATGCCAGAGCCATGGCCAAAGTCTTCCTTCTTCAGCAGCACACTGTGACCATCTTTGAGGTCAATACAGACACACTTCACATTTAAAAGCACACTAATCACTACCCACAGATTTGCAGCCCCGGCTCCAACCCCTGTGAAACCTTTATGCCTTTTGCAAGTGTCCTGCTTCCAGCCCACACGACTGCCTTCTCTTCCTCCACACACACACACACACTGCTCTGTGTCCACCTGCTGGGTCATTGCCCTACATAACTTTTACACATCTGGATGATGCACCCAGCTGTCAGAGATGCTTTCTCTATGTAGGTGTGCGTGTGTGAGGATAAGCGTGTATGCAATACATTGCACAATAGCTGGGGGTTGAGAAGTAGCCTAAGAATGAGCTGGTAGCCACAAGCCCACTTACATGGTGTAGCTGGAGGGAATAGGCTGAAGGAGACAGAGGACTGTATGAGTTACTGGGTCTCCCAGGGGAGCAGGGAATACAGGAAAGGGAAAGAGAGGTTTTAAGTCTGCAGATAAAGGCAGCACTCACTTGGGAATGAAAGAAATTAAATATCATTGAGGAAAGAATAATTGCCAGCAATCCTCAGACTCATCCTTCCAAAGTCTCTCTCCTTTGTAGTGAGATTTGCTGGAGAGCTTGTCTTGTCACAACTGGACACATTTCCCTTTCTTTTCTTTCCTTTCCCCCTTCCCTCCCTTGCTTTCTCTCCTTCAGTTCCTCTTGCAGTCACTATCAAACATAATCACAAAATATCAAATTCCAGTGAAACAGAAACAGATCTCTATGTATCTACAGTGACAATTAGTAAAACACACTCTTCAGATATTCTGATGAGACGCTACTGCTGACACCTCCTTGGAAAAATGCTGTCATGGGTTCAGGCAGCAGAGCTGCCCTCAGGATGCCAAATTTCTTTGGAGAATTTTCTCATTTGCTGAACTTTTCTGCAAAAGTGGCAGAGGTGCTCAGCTCCTTTGATAATCCAATCCCAAACATATTTTGAAGCCACAAAGACCAGCTTGGCAGCAGGTTTCCATGAACTTCCATTTGGAGCTGGTTGTCTGACTGCCTCCTGTACTTCTGCAAGTTTCCTCTTTAATTGAATTTTCTGGTATCAGTAAACATCTCAGCATGAGGTAATTTGAGTGACATCTATATAACAACTGCGATATCAGAGAAGTGAATGCCAGTTCAAAGTCACTCTAAATAATTCAGGCAAGCAGGTATCCCCATCGGACAAGCCCCATTACTGTGCTAGAGGAGGCAGCATCTCCCTCAGTGCCACACCATGGTCCATTTGCAAGGGAAAGAATTCAAAGGTAATTTGTGTTTATTTAAAGAAAAAAAAAGTAATTTCAGGTGCCTGGAAACTGAACATCTTTGCAGAGCTCCTAGATCTACACATTTTGGAGCAAAATAAGAATTGTTGTGCTGGGTCAGAAGATTACTTTAGCTTCTCCTGCTCTATGTGGCTGTGCCCAGTTGCAAACTCTTTGCATACAGAACCATTCCTAATACATGCCTATAAATTAATCACATCCCCTGAGCTACAGAGTTCTCTTGTGTCAGCAGAGGCCATAGCAAGTTAGTTTGCCTCATCCTTCCAGTCAGTGAGTGCTAAAAGATCATGTACCTCATGATGGCAAATGAAGCTCTTGGCTTCAGCAAATATGGGCAACTCTACAGAAGATGCAGATCTTATTTATTAAGGCTGCTAGGCTCAGCTCGGCATAGTAACTCTCCTTGGCTGTCTCACATTGAGGTTACCATAACCTGGGCTGTCTAATTTCATCACATAGGTCCTCCCTAAGCCTTCCTCTGGAGATCACATTGCAGAGGGATCCCCATGCTGCTGCTGTGCAGAGGTATGGAGAGGGAAACCTCTGCTGTGCACCCAGCAGGCACAGTCATGTCCATGTTTCCTTTCTGGAAGCCGATCCTGGGTAGAGCAGCCAGCCCATATCCTCTGAGCAGTCTGGCAAAAGCAACATGGAGATTTAACAGGGGAGAATTTCAGTTTGGAAACGATCAAGGGAGCAAAGACCTTTTGTCCTTGGAGGCTTGATCTCTATTAAATGTCTTTGCACAGGATGGAAAGACCCCATGTTCTGACAGCTGGGACTTCTTTAAAAACAAACAGCCTGCCTCAGTGTCATATTTTGGAAGTTATCACAGGTAATTGCAAGTATTAGGTGAAGTCACCTAGATGAGTAGTGTCTGGGATGCAGTGATCTGTACTTAAGCATACCGCAGCAGTCAGCTAATTGTGCCTGTGCAGCCCTGGGATCCAAAATCAGCCAGCTAAGCATGGCACTCTTCCAGCTCACCAAGCAGAAAGAGGACCCTGGGCTGTGTCAAAAGTTCACACGTACATGGAATCCCCTCCAAGGAGCAACACACACACCTGTGCAGGCCCCCACTGCCACTCCAGATAAGGAGATTCTAAAGTTGCTCTGTTAGTGGCAAAATATTTTGCACAATGTATCATGTCCCCCAAAACCAGGGCTCTGAGGGGCAAAAATGTGATGTCTGGTAATAGCAGATGTCCCGGTATCATAAGGAGAAAACTGACACCTTCCCAGTGCAGGCATGAGCTGGGAGGAAGAGGAGGGATGGTTACTCAGTGTGTCTCCCAGGCTGCGTCAGGATTGATGCATCGCATGCTGGCATGTGCCACAACACCATGTGCCTCAGCATGTGTTACCACATTGAATCCTGTCAGGGATTCAGGAGAAAGGCCTCAGGGGCACCAAGCTACCACTTTTCTGGATGTTCAGGGCTTTGAATAACAAATATTTGCAGAAGAGCAACCAAATGACCTCTAAGGCAGAGCTTTGTTTAGCTTTATTTACCATATGGCAGGCGAGCATGGGACATCCACCTGGCGGGTGGTCACCACATACCATCCCTTTTGCCAGGAGCCTGCCAGTTAGATAATTTCTACACCACACCCTTCAGCCCATCCTTTTTTTACCTCTCACTGCATGTTTCTTGGCTCAAGGCCACATGGGAAATATTTGTAACCATTCTCAATTAGATATTTGTTTTTAAATTGTCCATTTGTATCCCTTTTATGTCCTAGCTGTTCTGATGACATTAGTGAGCGATTGTGCTGCGTCTGCTTTATGTCTACATGCTGACATAAGTTATGCTGTGTGATCAGTTAATGTGCTGGAACTGCACGACAATCTCTGCCTTCCTGCCTGCTTCCATTTGGGAGCAATGCAAATCCTAAGGGCAGCTCTCGGAGTTAAATACAGTTTGATAAATAATAATAGAAAAGTAGCATCAGACTATTACTCTACATTACTTCTTTGAAGACAACTGCATCTGCCAGTTCACAATATATCTTTTCTCACCAACACCAGAGAAAATTTTGACATGCTGAATTACCATTTCATTTCCAACTAGGAAAACACTGACAAGATTTAAAGGATGGTTTTGAAAAGAAAGCATGGGCATCTAAAGATGTGAATTACAGTTGGATGAAGAAACCTTCAGGGGTCTTAGTTATAGGAAACTACTGACAACAGTATCATCTAAGCAAGATTTTTGCTACAAAACCCCACACCATATGTGCTTTTCCTGAATATGACTCATCACCTAAATACATATTAAATTTCAGTTTCAGGGATTTTATGATTAAGCCTATTTTCTTGTTTCTACTCTGTTCATGTATGGTTTTACATCTGTCTTAACTCCATTTCTTTGTCCCTATTAGTGAATGTAAGCTATATGTTTGGTCTGACATCGGGCTTATTTCCAAGGCTAAGTAAAACTTGGTGGTTTCAGCAAAAATGAGTGGTGGGTTTGCTAGAGCCCAAAGTGATGTTGATGTTGCTCACCTGCCATTTTGCAGACAGTAGAAGAGGAACTTCCTCCACGTGTACTACTATGCCCATGTTATGGTGGTGCCAGGGCTCAGAGGTGTGCGGTTCACATGCTTCGGGTGCTGCCTGGATGATTCAAAAGAACTGTAGCAGAAAACACAGGAGATTTTGACCAGCCTCAGGTCTGTAAGTACATTTTAAACTCACAAAGTTTGAGTGTGTTTGAAATGTACTCAAATATTTCCTTCTTCACTATTGTGTCCTCATGACTCATTGAATCATCAAAGGCTCAGAGATGAAAGAAGGATTTATGGTTAGAAAATGCAAAGGACTTTCTGCTGAAGGGGGAATGGTTTGTTGTATCTTCTTTCTTTTTTTTTTTTTTTTTTTATAAATAAAATCCCAGAACAAATAGCTCTGGTGAATAATTTTCTGCGAGGGTTTTCCCTGTAATGAGTAGCTGGGCTTCCAAAAAGCTATTTTACAAATAAAGTAAATAAGCTCTCAATCAAAAAACCCCACAGAAATCAATTGCAAAATCCCCATAGAGTTTCATGAGCTTTGAGTCACACTCAGGGCAGAAAATCACCTAAACCATTAGCCTGTAGGGAATGAAAATAGAATGTGGTCCTTTCAGATAATTTTAGTGATGCTTTTCTTCAGGCTGATTTCTACCTATGGAAACATAAGACCTGAACTGAAGAAAAGACACCTCATATACCTAAACATCTTCTAGCAGCCTCAGAGGGCATTGACAGGTCAAATTCAGCTATCATAATTCAACTGAGCCAATGAAGCTGTACCAAAGAAGGATTTACTGAGCTGGCACAAGTGTCTAATCTTTATATTTGCTATAAGAGGTTTTTACCTTTTCAGAAATGGCTGTAATATATTTTGGAGATGAATAAGTTTCCACCAGGTCAGAATGAATCCAATGAAAAAGGACACCTGAGGACCCTTAAGCCTTTCTCTCTCACAAGATGGGTATGGAGGTGGAACTACCCACCCTGTAAAAGCTTATTTGATTAGATATGAACTTCACATAAGAATGTATTATTTTCAACCTCAGAAATATTTACCAAAAAATCAGGGATCACGATCTACTGGACAAAAGGAAAACAGTTACAGCCCTAAAAGCTGGAGAAGACCGGGCCATACTCCTCGGGCTGGCCATGATGGTGTGCTCTGTCATGATGTACTTTCTCCTGGGAATCACCCTGCTGCGGTCTTACATGCAAAGGTAATTTCATGATGGTTACCCTGATCCCACTTCATGTGCCTTATTCTTTCAACTCTTTTTATTAAAGTTGGTTTTTTTTTTCCCTTTGGTCAGCATAGGCCTGATTCTGCATTTCCTTACCCCAGTATAAATTAGGTATACTTACAGAGAAAGCATGTTGGGTAATACCAGCGTGAGGGAAGAATTAGTTCCCTGTTTGACAAAACCTTGATCCATAGGCTTTATATCTGCCACAGTTCAACCCTAGTATAATATCCATATCAGGCAGTCGGCTGAACCCTGTAAGCCTCTCAGGGGCTGTTGCTGCAAAGCCCAGATTCAGGAGAAAACAGCAGAAATATTTAGTGGCCTCAAGAAAAAACAGATTTCCAAATGAAGAATGGAGAATTAATCTGGGAAAGAAATCAAGCTGCTCTGTATGTATGCATGCATGTAGCTTTCCATGTAGGCTATTACTTTCATTTTAACAAGTGAAATCTTCCTGAAATATAGCATTTGCTGAAAGTGAAAGATCATCTTTCATCATTACTGCACTGCACTTAATTTTTCAGAGGCCATCTCTGCCTTCCTTCTCTGCCATGAAGCAGAAAATTTGACCCGTGACTCATTAGCATTTGAAATCAGTTCACAAGCACCAGCCCTATTAAAACTCCAGCCCAGACGGTAACAAGACTGTTAGCAATGTTTTTTCCACCCTGATGACTGGATGTGTAACTGGGGTTCAAAACATCAGTCTGTCGTGCCCAAACCACCCTGAGGCAGTAGCCAATACTTGGCATGTTTTGGCTTACAAACCACTGGCTTCTTCTTTAGGCATGTACAATAAGTGCATACCAGTTAACTGGTATGAACGTCCTCAATTATATAAGTGCAACTGCAGGGAAATATTTCTTCTTGACCTTGCAAGGATAAGGAAAATGTAGCCATGCCTGAGGGTGAAGAGTACTGACCTGCAGTATCTTATTTGTATGATAAAGGTATTTATTACTTTTTAAATCCAAGTAAAGTTAAGTTGAAAACAGAGATCAAGACCTGTTAAGTATCCAAGAGCATTTGTTTTTCCAACTTGCTCTCCCCTACCTTTCAGCAATTTCAGGGTCAATTGCAGAGGCTGCTAAGGTCAAAACTGCTCATGTGGAAAGATATGACTTATATTGCAAACTCTATGAAAAATTGCCAAAAGCACCTATGAAGTATCAAATATTCCACCTTCACAAGTCTGTTGCAGGTAGATGTTATTTTATTACCCCCATGCATGAATGAAACAGCAGTCAGAAATGTAAAAGAGAGAAGAAGACAACCTAGGAGTCTTTGCTATCACTTCTCTTCACACAGTCAGATCTCCTTAGGGATTATTCTCCTTTACAGACAGCAACACCGCTTCCACAAAATACTGACTTGCAGGGAAAAAATAAGTAAATAACCTTTTCATTTGATTTCCCCCCACAAATTGTAGCATAATTTAAATGTAAAACTGAAAATACAAGGAGAATAACTGCCAAAATAACATATCAGGATAATTTGTCATAAACCTTTGATATTGCATATCATGTAAAGCCTTTTGTAGGTTTGTCAAGGGACAAGCAGACCCTCAGCCCATTCACGGTGAGGAGCAGGACAGCCATGCTGGGTGTAAGCTGAGGTGCTGAGTGGGACTGAAACCTTCTCCCAGCCCATGAAAGGTTTTTTTCACAGAACCCTCAGTATGCCCTTCCCATGGCTCTCATCCCCAAGGAAAATTCAGCCATAGATATTTAAATGCATGCAAGAAACCCAGGTGAACATTGCCAGTGCATACTGAGGCTCTATCATTCAGTTTTAGCCTCTGGTAAATTTGAGATAGACCAATTTCAACAGCTGACTTAACTTACGGAAAAACAAGCAAGGTGCCACTAGAAGAAGTCTTTCCACAGGGAGAGCTGCATGCAGAACCACTTATGTGTTACTGTGTCTTCATGCATATCAGTATGTGTACCCTGGTAATTCAAAGTCATCATGCCAACCTTCACTTTAAACTGAATGGGGTTTGTTGTTTAACCATTATGTCTTGGTCCAGGGTGTCATGTCATGCAACACTGCATGCATTTTACTCTTTGCCATGGCAGGCTGCTCAGTTTTCTTCTCTGATATCTCTGCCGGTTCCATTTGGTTTCAAATATACCTTCTCCAGACTAAAAGTTCCAGTGCCCTTTTCATTTATACATAGACATAAGTGAGTCATGTATTTTTGTTCCCAAAGCACAAACTTCAGGTACAGAATAATACAGTCTGTGATGTGTGATGTGAGAAAGTCAAGCCTTCACTCAAAGCCCTGCAACACGTACTGTCTCCTACAAGATGCCCCTTGGTATATCCCTGATGGAAAGCCTGACCTGCATTTTGCGCTTATTGCCCATTCTTGCCATGCTCTAACGTGTCTTTTTTCCTACTTAGTGTCTGGACAGAAGAGGCTCAGTGCTCACTTCTCAATGCATCCATCACAGAAACCTTCAACTGCTCATTTAGCTGTGGTCCAGACTGCTGGAAAATTTCCCAGTACCCGTGCCTCCAGGTGTACGTCAATCTCACCTCTTCTGGCCAGAAGCTTCTGCTCTACCACACCGAGGAAACAATGAAAATTAATTCTGAGGTAGGAGCATAGAATAAAATTTCTTCCTAAATGGGTTTCCAGAGGGTTTCTCACCTTGTTTTACGCATTCCTCGCTTTAAAGCAATATCAGCCTTCCAGCTCCTGCTTCCCTGGTAAATACAGAGCAGAGAAAGCAGAAATCAGTACACAGAATGAGCTCACATCTCTGGAGGGGGCAGATTTCCACCTCCATCCTAAGTGGGAGGATGAGCTCTTCCCTCAAGGGGCAATATCCCCTGACGGCTGGAGTCTTCCTCATCCTTTGCAAGTGTTTTACAGGTGCAAGCTAACGCTGAATACATGACATTGATATTCCTGTGGAGCTGTGGACAAGTCACTTACCACTAGGGTATGAATGCATGATAGTGAACACGCCTAGTAATGTGCACAGAACATCCACAGGGGTGAGAATAGAAATGGCCTTATTACTACTGGGCCAGGCAAGGCAACAGGGAGAGATGAGAGTCCCATGTCTAGCAGCAGATGTGTCTCTGTCTCAATATCTGGTGACAAATTCTGCATCCTGAGCATCTCCTCTGAGGTCAGCTGTGCCACTGGGGTCAAGGCAGACCATTTAGCCCTGTAGATGGTGCAAAGATGCTGAAAACGTGCTGAGCAGGGACTGTCAAGATAAAAGTAGCAGCATAAAAAGAAAAGGCCCGGCTTTGGGGCATGTATAAGCTAGGGAGTCAGCTCACATTTCTCATACAACTTCCCGGATTCCAGACATTAAACAAACAAAAAGTATTTTTAACAAATCTTAAGAAGAATTCCTCTGTCTCCTTCAGGAAATACAAAATCCATTAGAACTCCATCCAGGTGGGATGGAGACAGCTCCTGTCTAGAGGCTATAATAAACACAGCGGATGCACAGAATGCATCTCCCTGCCAGCCTACAGCCACAGCTGTGCAGCTGATGCAGTGTTGTGTATCAAACCAGGCAAGCAACCACTTCTTTGTTAGGGAGTGGAGGTGGCTAGGGAGGGTGTTTGCTCCCTCCATGCAGCACGGCAGGATCGGACTAAGAAATATCCCTCTCCTCAACTTCTTATCTTCATATATATAACAGCACCTGGGTACCTAAGACTGCAAACTGCAGTGAGCCAGGACGCAGCTAAGTCATTTGACTTATAAGTGCTAGATTTGCATTAACTACTTAGTTATCCAAGGTCATTGAATGTCCAAATGTGGGTGCTTGGCAAAGCACAGCCTGTAACAGCAGAGCCTCAGTTCAAGCTACTGACAATGTAACCTATTGTGTTTCTATTTATGGCAGCATTTCAGTAGACCAAATTACTTCTGCATATTAAGATGAAGTGTTATTAAAATCAGTCAAAGCATGTCATGGTTGCACTGGGCCAGTTATTCTGGTAGATAATTAGTTCCTGTGGCTGAGAGGAAAAGCTCTATGGATCTGAAGTGTGAAACGGGGAACAGTGCCCCCCTCTTCTCCTCCAGCTCAACATCAGTGCAGAAAGGAGGCACTTGCCATTTTTGTTAAGCCTGTGGCTTCTGATGGGGCAGAAGCAAAATCCAGCAACACTCATGCCACAATTTGATTAAAACAGATCAAACCGGTCTCTGTGCTCCACTGGATTCAAATAAATCTCCACATTCTTTTATTGATGACTTTTGCTTGCTGAAATGGACTTTGAAATTCTCCCACATGCCGCCTCCTCTTAATTTAATGTAGGCATAGTTAATGCTTCTCCAGCCCAAGGTTGTTTTACAAGTTAAACTCTGCTCTCAGGAGGATTCCTAGGTTTTCCTGACGTGATGCTGGCTATGTGACCTGAATCCAAATGCAGCTTTGAATGGAAGTTTGCAGTGCCTATAAAATACCTTGCTTCTTGTGCCTAGCTGGGATCAGCAGAGACTCCAAGCTCAGACCAGCACCAACCTATCTCAGCTCCTGGAGGGGTGCTCCCTCTCCCCCAGCTGGAGAGCGGCTCCATGCAGCAGGAAGAGCAGCCTTGAGCACTCCAGCTGGATGCTTGCTCTCTCTTCCCATCCACCTGCTCAGGCCCATGTTTTCTATCTTTGTTCTTGCCAAATAAACAAAATAGTAGCTGTCCCTGTCTCATTGAGCCATGACATTACTGGGGACACTGCAGAACACAGTGCTTACCCTCCAAGGCCAACACCAGCGACCTTCAGAACCTCTACCTCACTGAGCACCACCACACACACAGAGTGGCATCTGGAGCCCATCACTCGCCTGTCCCCACCACGTAGCATGGATGGAGCAAAATGCATTTTGACATTAAATAATGATTAAACTAGGAGACTTGCTGTCTGAGCTAATAAGGTATAGCAAGTAGTAGGTGTAATTTATCTACAGCATGCTGCTGCCCATCTCTGGTGAGAATCACTGCTAAGTAAGTGGATACCAGTTGAACTGCTCAAGTGTTTCCCACGAAAGCACATGGGATTCTTCATGGCTATATCACTTTTATTATATTATTATTATTATATACATTTTTATTATTTGAGCTACTGCTAATTTATAACACATGCTCCATAAGTGAGGTAGCAAGCAGGACTGAATCACCAGAATCACTGTTATGCCAGCTTTAACTGCCTGAGATTCAAAAATTATGGGGGATGTTGTGATCGCCTACTGAAGGTTCAGGTGTTTATAATGCAGGGGTAATTTGCCTGGTGCAGGGAAGCCACAATATTCAGCTGCAGTTCCCAGTACAACCATTTCTGGGCTGGGACCAGAAAATTCAGTCTGCAGGAATCAGTATCAGACCAGCTCAGACACAAGGCTCCTCCTTCAGCCCCCCGTTCAAACCTGTTACACTTTTCAGAAGAGATGCAAACTGATGCCACAATTCTCACAAAGATTGCCACAGCATATATTGTCAAAGTTCCCAGGCTCAGCATGGACACAAACTCCAGTGGCAGACATGATGAGAGTCATATATATCACTGCCCAGTCAGTCATTGACTTAAATGAAACTGCCCCCAGCTTGTCTGGAGATGCTTTGTGATCTCTATCCTTGGAGTTACTTGTAACTTGACTGGACAAGTCCCTGAGCAACTCTGCACTATGCAGGGCATTGGACTGGACATGTCAGTTCATACAGGTTACCTATCCAACCCTTTAAACAAGGAAAGCAGAGCTGGAAACATGAAAGTAAGGTCTCTCCATAACTGTCTAGTACATCCTTCTTGTGATCAGGTTGCAAGCAACACAAGAACCTCTTTTCTCACTTTGTATCACAGAATCCTCACTTGAGGTAGAGGACCAGACATTATTTACTTTCAGATTTCCACATTTCCAAGTGTTTGACAATGCAGACATTGTGATAAAACAGCAGATTTAGTAGTTTAGGTTCACAGGTACAGTGTAACAATTGCAGATCTAAATTCCCTGCCAGACATTGAAGAAAAATAAATGAAGACCAAACCAAAGAAAACAAAGACATCCCATTATCCACACCTGCATACATGTTTGCCAATGACCTGTACAACAGAGCAGTCACCAACATGGCAGTCAGCCCTGTGTTATCCCTGGGATCTCAGAGGGGAAGCCGAAGTATGGAAGTAGGTCAGAAGCACCCTACAACTATAACTCAATGCACACAGAAAGTCCTTCTGCAGAGGAGCTCCTTGAAGCTGAGACCAAGCTGCCTCCCAGAGCTCAGAAGAACTGGAACAAGTCAGATAGCACATTGGAGTAGAGGGCACCCATATCTTGAAGACCATAGCCGGGAGAGAGGTATGGTTTCAGCAGAAAAAGGCTGGCACAGAAGCAAAGTGAGTCAACCTTCCCCTGCACAACTGTACTTCTGGGAGATTCACTCTCTGAGGCCCTCATGTCATGAGCAGCCCAACCAGCTCAATATGGCTGATGGCTCTGTGTCATCAGGTGTAGAAGGCAACAACTGAAGTTCTGCTTGAGCACCAGGTTTCCTTTGAAAATGCTTGGACTATATTCAGACTTGCAAGAAGTCGGACCTCCCCCCACTGCACTCCTGGGACATTTCCACAGTCCTTGAATCCAACAATCTGTCATCATTTGGGCTTTTACATGCCTGCTGTTTTCTGTCAAAAGAGAAGGGCTGGACTTCGGAAAGAGTTGCCAAGTCCTCATTTAATCCCTTCCCTCAGAATATTTCATAGTTTGCAAGAGGGGGGGGGAAAAGGCAGGGGAAAAGAAATCTGAGCTGGAAATGCCTGCTGTTAGACAGTGATAGCACAGAATTTAGTAAAAGAAAGGGGTACTCTTCACTGAGAAATTTCCCTTACGTACTAGATTATGATCTATTAAAGAGTCATAGGCACTGGAAGAGGGCTGTGGTTTTAGGCATTTAAGACAAAGATGGGCAGAGTGCAAGAGAACATCCTGGAGCAGGCCCACACAAGAAGGAAGATGAATGAGATGCTACCACTGATATTTTCCATCTCTAATTTCTGGAGCTCCATGAAATATTCATAATGGCAATGCTGCCACGTTCTACCCTTATAGCTCCACTCTGCTAACACCAGACAATCTTTCTGCCATGCTTCAGATCATATTCTGTGCTAATAAACTTGCCAATGAATCAATCAAATCCTGTTATGAGGTTAATCCTTTGATCATTATTAGGACTAGAGATATGTCACAGTACATTACAAAAAAAGTCGCGGTGTAGTCTTGAAAAAGAACAGTGGGGCTTTTATAAAGTATGTCCATTAAGCCAGTAATAATCAAAATCCATGGGTCACATTATTTTAATCAAAACATCTTTTTTTATTTTGCAAAGCTCACTTTCATTTAATTATTTGGAGCTACTTTAGATGCTGGCCCAGGACAAGCAGTGCAGGCAAGGAGCATGGTGGGACCCGCAATCACCCCATAACTGCAAGGGAGCAGTGACCTGCTGGGTCTCCCCGTGCACATTCAAGCAGTTAAGCAGCAGATTTCCACCCCTCCTGAAGCAGTTAATCAAAAACCTGTACAGGTGTAGAAACCCTTCAGGTGTGGAGAGGCATGTCTAGACATGAGGAGGGAGCAAGGTGCCCTGTACTGCTCCTATCAATCCTTTTCCAGACCAGCAGCAGCAACAGCAAATTCAAGTCTTTCTGCTCTAGGTCAAAATGCAGATATGGCCTCAATCATTGCATGTCTGCCCATCACCTCACAAGCCCACACTAGTTCTTCATAGAAAATGGTCAGCATAGGCCCAGGCTACTGTCCTACGCATCCCATGAAATATCTGTAATGCATGGACTCCATAAGCTGATTTTTATATTAATTTGCCCTTAATATTCTTTGAGAATTCTAGTTTGAAACTGTATTAGATAAAGCTGCCCTCAAACCTTTTTTTCACAGTGACTGAGATTGAAATTCAAGCACCATCCTCAGAGAAAATGAATTGCTAGATTTAGACTGGGGTCCAGAGCAAAAACAATACGAAGACCGATCCTGGTACCCAGGCTGATCCTCAGTTAGAAGTTGAATGAATGTCTTATGGGTTTTCAGGAGGAAAACAGTACTTTCTCCTAAACTATCTGTTTTTCTCTAATTGAGGAATTACCCCCATGGGAAAATCTGTATAAAGGCCTCTCATCAGCCTTTTCTGCAAGTGAACTCCTGTGCCCACCATGATCACGTTGATCCAATCCAAATGAGATATAAACTACCAGATTTTTATTTACAGAGAGTCAGTTACCCATCTAACTGCAAGCATACGCACACCACTTTAGATGAAGAGGTACTTCATCAGTTCCATTTTAGCATGTATAAATTAGCAATAATAATATATTCACCTAACTCACGAGGCCACTGTGCAGATTAAAGCACTAATGTTTGTACAATATTTGGATGTTCTCCAATGGGAAATTCTGTAGATGTGCAAAACATTGTTCTGTCTGTGATAAATTTATTATTAGGCTTAATAGTATTCCACTCCTATTAAGACTATTATGAAAAGCATAATCATCTTGAGATTTTCCTGCTTGTCACCTGAAAAGAGACATCATCTCTGGTTTGGAAATACATTTTTCTTCCTCTAATGTCTTCCCAGTGCTCATACATACCCAAATGTGGCAAGAATTATGAGGAGTCCATGTCATTGGTGAACATCGTGATGGAAAACTTCAGAAAGTACCAGCGCTTCTCCTGCTTCTATGACCCTGAAGGCGTGCAGAAGAATGTGATATTAACCAAACTGTACAGCCACAACGTACTGTTCCACTCTCTCTTCTGGCCCACATGCATGATGATTGGCGGGGTCGCCATTGTTGCGATGGTAAAGCTGACTCAATACCTTTCCCTCCTCTGTGAGAGAATCCAAAGGATCAACAGATAAAAAATGAAAACTTCTCTGAGATTTAAGTACAATGAAAATACTGTTTTCTCATTCTTCACCAAAGAACCTTAAGTTTGTAACGTGCAAGTCTGGTATAAGTTCCTTACTATATTCTTATAAGTAGAGCAATAATGCAAAAGCTGTTCTATATGCAAACATATTATTATGCAGACAACTGAAAAAATACTGTTTTGTGTTGACTGTCTATATGATCTTGTTCTATGCTGAGACTAGTATTTCTTTCTTTTCTATGGCCAAAATAGGGCTCAGTGTGACCATTTGCCAATCTTAGTCAATTGGTGTTTTCAACGTAAAAGGATTCTGGAAAAAAAAGAAAAATCACTGCTGGGCAAAGGGCAGCCAGCCACTTGTGCATCGCTGAGGTCTCACATCTGGCTGAGCCCATTCAGTTGATTTGTGGCTTTGCTTTTTTATTATTGGCTGCAGGGGGAAAGGGGGAGCATTAACAGTGAGGGGTTTTATGGTAAGGCAGCACAAAAGGGACATATTTTTGAAGCCAGAATAAGTATATGTTATTTTCAGCCTCAGTAGGACTTGGTAATGCTTTGTGTTTGCTCCCCCAGTTCAGAAGTAATTTGTACCCTGTAGTGTTTCAGGTCTTTTGGAAAACAGAGTTTTATTTCATTGACTGCTATGATTTCCTCCTGTCTTACCCACATCACCTTTGTCACTCACAGAAGCTGAAAAGAAAAAAACCAAAATCACCTTGTTCCATTTTCTAGTCTGAGCTCTATTGATGGAGGTGGGACCAGAACTCCTATACAAAGGTTTATCACTCATTTGTCTTGTATTTGCTACCATATCACTGTAAAGAAAAAAAAAAAACAAAAAACAAAAAACAACACAATTGGCTATTTTTTCATTTTTTACTTCCAACTATTTTAGATTTTTTTACTTGATATATATACAGATATATATAAAGAAAAAGCTATATTGAACCTAGTTGTGTATTGGAACTTGATTATTGGGGGAGGGGGGGTTGTTTGTTTTTACCCACTGGAAAGCAAACAGTACAATTCATTTACAACCTTCATCCTTGGATAATATCATAACATGGAGGAGCAGCACTGCAGGATCTTATCCAATATTCATGATATTATTTCAGTCAAAGGTCTCTGTTGCTGTGACATCAGAACTGACAAAAATCTCATCCAGTTCTATGGTTTTATTAGCTGAATTGTTAGATAATCATCATAAGGCGTCTGGAAATCTCTCCTGACCTTAACTCAGCTTGCAGTGCTGGCTGACATGAATTATGATTTAAATGCTCAGGTGCAATGATTTATTGGAAAAACTGAAATTCTGACTAAAATGTTGTCCTGTCTGTCAAACATTTACCGCAGGGATCTTGCCAGTATAAATTCATATGTACTAGTCACAATTTCTGCATAACTTTTTATTCCCCTGTAGAAAGCATTCCTTCTTATGTTTTAAAGATAACTCTCTCAGTTTCTCACTTCGCACCCAGCCTGAAGGACAAACCCAAGGCAGCTCTTGTAAGCACCTTGTGACTCAGTATTCAATCTCTCAAAGAAAACATTTACAGACCTATTCAAACCAAGAAACATTTTCCCTGCCAAAAAGACTGCAAAGCAAGTGCTCTGCCTAGCTCCTCTATAGGTACCTTTCCACAATGTAGCATTAACATTTTCAAGATGTTACAAAACTTTACAAGTCATGCAAGTGTAATGTGAGCTGTAGAAAAAAGAAGAGAATTCTCAGCACTGAAAATGAACCTGCAATCTTGTAATCAGCAGTATAATTTTCCATAGGTAAATAAATTCCTGGAGGGTGGGGGTATAATGAGCGCTCCAAAAGTATGTAATAAAAATATTAAATTAAATCTTCCAGATTTCAATATGCCTTCAGGTCTGGCCTGTTTCATCAGACTTCTCTTTTTTATAGCGTCTATTGCCAAGAAACAAGGAATGCCAATACAACAGGGAATTCGCTCCTTGTCCAGCTCTCTGCATCAGCTCAGTCACTAATGCCAAAGGAAGGACCATGCTGTCAATTACAGTTCACAAATCAGAAATGGTGGATGGCATCACCAGCCAAGAGCTGTGATGGCTTTTTCACACCAGTACTTATGCTGACGTTGGCTGTTTACTTGACCTGTGATAAAGTAGCTCTTTGGCTGTGTGTGTGACATTTTCAGCACCTGTGTTTGTGTGTTTAGGTTCTGGTGACAGGAAAGCTTATTGTTCCTGACATTTACACATCAAGCACTGCTTTCAACAGGTTGCGCCATAAACATTTCGCTAGCACTCCTGTGGGTGAAACATCTTGATGCTGTTGCAGTCTATAATCATTTTGTTGACATTAACAGCAAGATCTGTGGGGTAGCAAAACAACTTGAGTTACTGGATGAAGTGAGGCAAAACAATAATTTTAAAGGGAATTACCCACCTGATCACTGGCACAGTTAACCCCCTACTGGAGTGTTATCATTGAAAATGTGATTTTTGACAACTCCTGCTGTCCCAAAGAGAGGTTGTATTTCAGTGGGGATGTTAGCTTGTGCTATTTCTTATCATTTTAATATCATGTTTACCCCTGCAAAAGGAACTGTAGGCAGCTCAAATGAGAAACACATGGTAGTAATCCAGCAAATCTACTCTGTTTGAGACTGGTCCCAACTCTTCCCAACACAAACGTTTCACATCTCAATGTTTTAGCTGGGCTTTCAGGACAGCTGGGAGCAACCAGTGATGCAAAACCGTGGAACAGAATGGTATGATATGAAAATGGTAATGCAGCAGCCAACATCTCTTATGAGCCTGAGAGGTACCCTTGAAGGATTTAAAGCATGTATAATTATTTCAGGTGCCCAATTCACATAGTCTTTTAGTAGTTGTTATTTTCTTAATTAGATTATTTATGTCAGGTCTTATTTCTCTTCTGGAACATCTAAATCTGAAGTGTGAACATCCCTGCAGTAGCAATCTGAAACTTGGCACCTTGCAGCAGACTTACTAAAAGTCACCAGCTATGATAATGGAGAGCTTATTTTGGTTTAGCTTTTCCAACTGAGAAGACATCACTTTATTTCGCAAAAGGTACCCAGAGTGCAACTCCAGTGTGAGCTTGATGTGACTGCAAAGAGGAGAGATGGCTCAGGAAACATAAGAGCCTTCACATCTCAAGACACAAATGCTGTGATTTCAAACATGAGACATAAAAAGGGAATGAAGTTCCAAAACAAGGCTGGGGATGCTGCTGGCTTTGCCTCCTCCTCATCTCCATCCTCATCACCAGTCGCAGAAGAGCTCAATGAAGAAGCTGCTGAGAAAGAACTGGCCGGTGAAGGCCTGGTTCACAGATTCCTGCACTTTTTTGACTATAAAAGTTGTGGCTTCACAGCAATACAACTATTCTAATATAACCTCTACAGGAAATGGCAATTTCAAGGTAATACTACCTTAAAAATTGATCAGCTAATTTCCCTTCTCATACAGTCATGGTCTTATTAAAATAGCTGCAGCCATTCAAGTAGACTGAGCCAATACCTTTGCAATAACACATTTTTTTCATAGACTGTGTCTGAGCACAGTAGCATCAGCTCTCCATCAGCCACTGTGCTGTTCATCTAATGAAGATCTGGGGAGAAAAAAACCCACCTTTCTGCTCCACTGAGCACTTACCAATTCCCAACGCTAGATTTTGCGGAAAAAAAACGTGCGCAGCTTTTGGTGCACTCAAACATCTCACAACCGGATACAAAGTTTGCCAGATTGTTTTGTTGCACAGGAATGAGTGAAAAGCAGGGAGGGTAAACACCAATTATTTTGTTTCAGTGTTTTGGAAACAAAATGTTTCCGTTTTTCAGTTTCAATTGATGTTGCCTCTTAAAATGCAGGGTGGGGGTAGGGGTTTAGTAGGGAAGATTGAAATTCTGTCATCTCAGAACATCCCTGATCATTACTATGAGCAAAGAAAAGCACAATGCCTACCTCAGAGTGTAACAGCTACTAAATTAGGAGACACCAGGAAGGAAAGGAGCCCCTGTGTGAGGTAGCAGCCACCCCAGACATCAGCTTCTCTCCTGAGCACAAACATCCCCACACAAGATACTGATGCGCAGTCAGGCCATATGATTCAGTTGTTTGAGCTGCTGCAAATTAGGGAGGGCCCTACAGGCAGAGCCCATGGCCAGTACATCTGGGCAGTTGGACTTGGCATGCCGTTTTAGCCCCAGGACATGGCCAGAACAGTTCTTGGCCCATTATGAGTTGGCTCTCCTAAGCTATATTCTCTCTTGTGTTTTGAGGGGTGGGTGCCAGTTGCTGGCCAGCAAAGCTGCACTGCCTCTCACCACATGCCAGTCCTCCAACAAGCTGCTTTTTGGTCCTGATCTGCAGTTGCTGAATGTAAAACAAACCTCATTCCACACAATGGATTTTATCATTCAGAAATGATCTAGGGGAAACTAAAAAAAAAAAAAAAAGGAAATGCTGCCAGGTGAATTCACACCAGGCTTTTTTAAATGAATCAAATATCTCTGAACACTGGAAAATGTGTTAACATTAGCAGAACCCTCCATACAAGCTTATCTACTTTTTATAGTGGTCTATTTTCATACAGGGAGCTGGTAAGTATGTATTTTTAACTGAACTACATTTATTCAAGTTGAGAATTTAGCCCAGTGATTTTATTGTAACAGAAGGCAAGAGATGCCCATTCTAAAATGCTCTGTAAAGTCTGTATGTCCATCAATATGAAAGTGTGGCCATTTCCACGCAGAAAAGCAGCAAATGCCTCATAAAAGAGATGAGCAGAGATGGTGAATCGGCTTTCTCATCCAAGCATAGAAAAGGTTTGTTTACTTTGGAAGAAAAACAGGTGGGATGTAGAAACATCTCCAGGAGGAGTCAGGCAGCTCAGGCTTTTTTTTGGGGGGGAGGGGGGGCAGACATGTTCACCCCCTAAAAAAGAAAAAAATTAATAATAAGAAAAGGCTATTTTTCCAGGAGCACCTCCATTTTTAACACATTTTTGCCATTCAGTTCAACCCAAACTTTATTTTTAACTACGTCATTTCATTTCAAAAAGTTAATTAATTTGGTTTGGAAGAAATAAACAAACAAGACTTGAACCCCAAGGAATCTGCTGCTGTCCCACTGAGCTCCTTGTAGTGGCCCAACTTTTTTTTTCTTTTTTAGCTTGCTGAAAACATTAAAGATTTTCTTATTTTCATCCCATACACAAGATCGGGGGGAATAAAACTGCAACTGCAACAACAGCAAAACCAACCAGCCAAAACGCTGTGGAACTGAAAACATGCTTTCCACACATCTCAGGCAAAAATGTTTCAAGAAAAAGTCTCCTAGGGTGGGTTTTCTAATATAACATGTGATAACATACAAGAGGAAGGTGGGAGGTTTCATCTATCTTCTTAAAGTCCCCAACCTGGCTATTCTTTTCCATAACTA